ACGTCAGTTGGGACGCTGTCTTGCAAGTGCTGGCATCGGCCGAGACTCAAGATGCTAGCTGTCCGATCTGCCTGTCCACTCCAGTCGCTCCACGCATGGCTAAATGTGGCCACATTTTCTGTCTACCCTGCCTCATCCGCTATATGCACTCTACAGACGAATCCAACCCTGTTCCGGACAAGCGACCCAGATGGAAAAAATGCCCAATATGCGAGGATAGCATTTATATATCTGACGCGAGACCGGTCAGGTGGATTCAGGGCAACGACGTCAGCATGCTGAGAGAAGGTGGTGACGTTCTGCTCAGGCTGCTGAAGCGTGAACCCGGTTCAACACTGGCATTGCCTAGAGACACCGCAGAGAGCAACGGCCACTCGGAGGACATCCCCTGGTTTCATGTGGCTGGGATGATGGAGTACGCTCGCTTCATGAAAGGTGGTGAAGACTATATGAAAACTCAGTATGACCAAGAGATTGCGGCTCTTGATGCCCAGGAAAGGGAGGACGAACTGATGTTTGGTGACGAGAACACATGGACCCGGAAAGCTGTCCTGGCCGTTGAAGATGCCAAACAGAAGTTGTCTGGGTTGGGGAATCCACCTGTGGCAGCACCAACTTCTCCTGCAAAGCAACCAGAGATTCCGGACTCCTGGGAATCAGCCGACCAGGAGTCTTCCAACCTAACTTCGGCAGTCAAGTCAATGACTCTCAGTCAAGGCCTTCCTACCATGAAACCTGCATCAGGTCCCTCGAGACATGCTCACGGATCCCAACGCCCATTATCCCACCCGTTCTATTTTTACCATGCATTACCAAATTTCTTCCTTTCACCCTTAGACATCCGAATTTTGAAGGCTGCTTTTGGCGACTTTTCGGCATTTCCATCAACCATCCTCCCAAGGGTAGAGCACATTTCTACGGGACATATCATAGATGATGACCTGCGCAAACGGGCCAAGTACATGGCTCATTTACCATACGGGTGCGAGGTGACATTTTTGGAATGTGACTGGACCGATGTCATCAGCCCAGTCATTCTAGAGCAGTTCCAAGATGACATTACCAGGAGACGAAAGAGGAACCTGGAAAAAGAAGCAAGAGAAGAGAGAGATAGAATCCGAGCCGAAAAGGAAGAGGACGATAAGAGATGGGCTGCCGCCCGAAGACCACGGAGACCAAGCTCTGTACCAAAGAGTTTCACTGAATCAGATTTCCAGCCATTGGTCGAGTCGGGCAATCATACAAGTTCTTCGCCAGGCGAATCTGGTCTGGCAACGACGCCGCCCTGGGGTAACGCGCGGGCTCAGTCTGCGTTTGCAACGTTGGCCACACCAGGCACGAGTCCTGACGCACCTCGAACGGTTTGGGGTACGGCGGCAGTCGCTCCGCTCTCTCCACCCCTGCTCGCTGCGCCTGAACCTGTGAGCGCACACGCCGACGACGGCTGGTTACAGGGATGGGAGCAGGATCTTCTCGATGAGAGCGATGCCGTGGCTATGGTTGAGGCTTCCTTGAATAATGGTGGCTCACGGTCTAGTGGCGGTGGCCCCTCTTCGAAGAAAGGGAAGAAGAAGAAGATTACACTTATGTCGACGGGCAATCGACGTGGCGCTTAGCAATGGCTTGAGATTTTCTATAAACCATTCCATGTGTTCAGGACTGAGATGTGTCAACGACAGCAATGAGAATTGAACGAGAAGAGAGTGCGAGGCATACTGTGTGATTGTAGATAGCGGCGACCGATCTTGAAATGAGCCAGGAAGCAAATTTGTGTGTGCCTTTGAGCAAATAAATACCCGCTCAATACAATCGAAATTCACAAAACACAATAAACAATATTGTCATTGCATCTAGTCTACCCAACTCAAGTTTGGAGAAACATGGGATGTCTGAATCCGCAGCGGACGCATGTGTCGTCCGAGATGTATGCCAGGTGATATACGTCCGAGTATCGAGTGTTGTGGTCGAAGTCTCTTGACTACCTAGGCACACAAGCACAGTAAGTACGAGGTCATGATACGAGATCAAGCCGAGTCTCCTCTTTCTTAGTCTCTAAGAAAGAAGAGTTCGAGTTATTTCCACTCAGGGAGGGTTGCTGTTGCGATATAGCATACACATACAGCATTCGCTATAACATACGGAATACTACGGCGGACGCATACAGCATACTACAGCATATGGGATACAGCAGTTCCATTCCGTCAAAAAGAGATGAATTTCCCAGTCTAGCATCACTCGGTACATTTGATCCCCTTTCTCCATGCCATCGTTCGTTCCGTTACATTCTTGGCCCAGACCTCGTTTGATCCATAGGCTGCTATGGGTGTCAAGGCTGGCGCGTCCGTGTCTCATTCCATGTATGCATCATCGTCAGTCTTCGTCGTCGTCGCGCACATCCAGAGCAATACCGTAGTCGTGATGGATTTGCACACCACGTCCCTTCGCTCTCAGTCTACATACGCAGATGCTAGTCTATGCCATCTGGGCCAGAAAATCTAGACATCGATGGCGTCCACGACAACGCCCTTGACCCAGTCGTAGCCCATGACTCGGGCAACCTCTTGGGCCGTCTCGTGGCTGACAAGGGCGCTGACGAGGTACAAGCTCGCGTCGATGCCGCTGATGGTGCCGCCGCTGGTGATGACCCGCATGCCGCCCAGCTTCATGCTCTGTCGGCGCACCAGGTTCTCGTGTTTCAGGTTGCTCTCCCGTCTGGCCAGAGAGCCCTTGCGGGCGGTGCTCCCCTTGCGGTTCTTCTTGAACACGTAGGGGTTTTCGTCCAGGTTCTCGCCCAGGTCGAAGCGGGCGTTGTTCACCACGTAGCGCTCCTCCATGACGTCGGTGCGTTCACCCATCTCGCGTGCCGCGGCGTCTTGACACTCCTTCTCCAGCTTGATGTAGAAGTCCGGGTGTGTGGTCGCCGCCAGCCCCTGCAGGAGGCCCTGGCTCGCCAAAAAGAGTGCCGCCGTGTCAACGGCCAGCACGGTCCGCTCCCTCCCGGGGTCAGAGGTCTGGGCGTCGGCGAATGCCTTGATGATTTTTGTAGGTTCGGCCTTGTCTTTGAGGACCTGCATGCATTTGTCCTTGCCGCCGGGGACGACGAGGACGTCGAATTCCTTGAGACGCTTGTGTGCTTCCTTGTACGAGACGTGTGCAGTCAATGTGACGCCTTGGGCGGTCAGGACGTGTTCCTGCGCAGCTGCAAAGGTGACATCAAAGGCTTTGCTTTCTGGATTGCTTGCATGTCAGCTTGGTGTGGTAGGTAAAAGGCTGGTCGTGTGACGCGGGGTTTTGGGGGGGAAGGGGGGAAGTGTCTACATACCTGGGTCACTGGCATTGTATTGAGCGTGAGTGAGAACTTCAAGCGGGCCGGCAAAGTCGAGCAGGTCCATGCCATCATGCATGGTGATGAGGACCTGGATGGGCTCGTTGGTCTCGGTGTCCTGAATTGCACTCATCTTGCCGGCTGTAGATGGGTCTGTGTTTGGAGAGAGGAGGTGAAGAAAGGGATTGTGCCTGAAACAGGTGAAGAATGTAATGTAAGTGGTTGGTTTGAGTGATCAAAGGACCTTGAAAGGCTGTGTGCAGATGTTGGAGTGTGGTGGTTTGTCTCGGGCTTGGCTGCGGTGACTGATTGAAGGAAGGGGAAAGAAGGACAAAGGAGGAGAAGAGTTCGGAGAAGGTGGCACGACAGCTTGGTGGCTCGGTGGCATCAGTGATTCGGTGGCGTGGCAGGTTTGTTTCTGCGGAGACCCCACGAAATTCCTGAGCGCAGTGGCCAAAAATCGTGGGGTACTGAGACGCACTTTGACGCACTAACTGAGGGGCGACTGGGGCATCAATCAGGCTATCAGGCCACCAAAAAGGCGCAGGCAAGTGAGAAGTAAGACCTCGTCGCGGTCAAGTTTCTACCACACACTCGACACCACCTGCATCACAGCCTCCCTCTCCTGTTACCATCACAAACCCACGAAGACTAGTATGTGGTCTGTCAGGATAAGGACAGCCAAGGACACAGACTCCTAAGCTCGTGAACACCTGATATCAAGCCTGTCAGAGACGTCTATATTCCTGCTCCCCGGTTCTGACTTCACCCCTTTCCCATTGCGTGCAAAAAACGTCAATTATCCTTGCTCGTCTTGCATTTCCTCTTCCCTCTGAACCAGAGGCTGAGATTTTCACTTTTGATCTGCAATGTTCTTCCCAGCACAGGAAGGCCTGCACCGTGTGTCAGCTGCACTTTCATGCAGTTCGCAGATACGGCAGATACGTGGGATATGCCATTGCCAATCGACCTGAGCAGCACTCACACTCTTTTCTTTGTACATGCCTTGGCGCCACCCAAGTGCTGGATTTCTATGCAAGAAGGGCACAACACCTCGAATTAATGGTCCTTTGAGGCTCTTCTGCCGTCACTGCAGAGTGCCTGTGCATGCCAAATGCAACCCCTGTCAATTAACGGCCAGAACTTCGACAGGCGCATGAAAGCCCCTTTGTAGCGGTAAGGAGCGGTGAGGAGCGGCGAGGAGTTGTCGACAAGGATCGATGCGCCCGACAAACGTGTGTTCGGCAGCCTGGACCTTTTTTCTTATCCGGATGTTGACCCAGAGTGTCGACTTGCAGCGAGTTGCAGCGGCGACTGCCCTCAATGTTTGGCGCTGAGCCCATGTCAAGAGCGGTATCATGCAAGGTAGAGTTGGGACAATGAACCGTCCAAGCGTCCATACCTATCTTTGATGGCTAGACTGGTTCTGTCAGCCAATTCCCCCGAACCTCCAGAGCATTATTTAAGGTCAATGATGGACTTCCCTCGTCTCTTTTCGACGGCTTGTTCATTGTGGTCAGATGAGCACTGCGTACTTGACTCACGTTGAGGCTCTATCAGCCTACTTTTTACCAAACTGAAATAGCTCACTGATCCTTCAATTTCTGGAGCCTTGATCAGCATTTACTTCCATAACAGCATCTTCAACTTCAGACCTCGACACAAACCCAGCAGAATGCCTTCCGCACCCACAAGGCGGCGTCGTCGTTATAACGAGTCCACAGCAATTGTGGAGATGACCCGATCTGACTTCGATCACATGGAAAAGTCCTATAGAGAGCAGCGAATAGAACTTCAGGCCATGACCCTCCAATTGAGGAAGATTGGCCTGACTGCAAATGAACTGCAGCAAGATGTTGCAGCTAGAAAGGAGAATCAAACGAGTCTCCGAAACGAGCTGGTCCGGGAAAAAGCAAAGTCCACCCAGTTACAGGCTGAGAGCAGGACTATGGCTATCAACATAGCCCGACTCAAGAGCGAGATCATGAAGCTCAAAAGAACAAATGCAATGCACGTCGCTCATCAGCAACAAAAGATGAACAATATGTCCGTGGGCCTGATTGAGATGGTGATGGCCAAGTACGCCCAGCTCTTGGAAGCGAATAGAGAGCTGAAGCAACAGAACGAGACCACGGCGGCCGACAAGGTCCGGCTTAAAGAGGAGAACATCAAGCTTGAAACCGATATGGCTCTGCTTAAAGATGAGAACATCACGCTTGGAGAAAAGACCAAGATCATGGATCAGCTAAATGAGAAGAACATCAAGCTTGTGGAGCAGAACGAGACCATGGCGGCCGAAAAAGCCCAGATGCAGCGACTTCATAGTAAGCAGGGTCAGTATGTCAAGAGGCTGGAGCAGCATGTCGCCACCCTGGAACTCAACCAGCACTGCGAGAGAGTTCATCCTGAGACGTTCCAAGCGAAAATCGGGAAATTGACAGATACCTACCTGTACAAAGCTGGCGGCGCTCGGGAGGGGAATCCCTACAAGGTACGAACATGTGTACCACGATCACCACACTTGTGCATATACATCGTCCCTTCCTCCCGGAAAGAGCAATATGCTAACCCTGGAACTTTGCAGGACTTGAACCAAGTTTACCCCGTGTTCCTGAACGTCTTCACCGAACTCGAGGCGGGCTTATTCCACTGTCTGATGGTCTCGGACGATAACAACTCGGACTCCATACCCAGTGAGCAAGCCTGTAATGCCTTGACCAGGGTTTTCAACTCTGATCCGGCCTTTGCTAAGTGCCTAGGGAGGGAAGCTCAAGACAAGATGGAGAAAGAGCTCACGAACATCTTCCGCGACGGGCTCGAGCTCTTTGGACGGGGAGGCATGTTCTAAAGTGTTTAGAATATCGCCTTGGCTTGTGTACCAAGTATGGATAGAGAAAAGGTGGTGAGGAGCGAAGTTGGGGGCAGCTTGTTGGATTTGTATTTTTTCTTCTTCTTCTTCTACTACTACTACTACTACTACTACTACTACTA